TGACTAAGATCACTGGAGACTTTTTAGGATTTAAGAGAAATCTATGTTGTACAGGGAGGCAGCTGCTTTTCAAATCTGGCCCAAATCTGTGGAGAGGGGTAGTCTTGGTAAAATCTGTAAAATGTAGAGAGTTTAGTCCATAAGCATTTTGCCACAGTCTTGTCTTGTCTGTAGCTGGTCTTGCAGTCTCAACCACCAAGGTCCCAGTGAAGTGAGTGTTGTGAAGAACCAGTGGTCCAGTTTGTTCTGGTCGATTTTACACAAGTGGAACAATCAAGACAGAGGTATATGAGACAGGATGGTCCTGATGCATCCCTTTCATTTTTCTTGGCAAAGATGATGTGGGTTTATGTTGGTATCAGACATTGTTTGCTGCAAAACACACAGTAGCTTATTCCAATGTTGAAAGAGATATTGCTCACAAAAGCTATATTTTAACACTGTGCTTGTATTTGATCATTTATAGGACAGAGCAGGTGCCACTGTAATTGCTGAGCTGCTTCTTCCCTGAAGTCACTGTGATTTTATTGTGGAGCAATATACAACTAAATTTTTAATTAGTGTGTTCATGATGCTTAGAGCCATTATGAAGAGCCTGTCAGGCACACACAGTAAACCTATTGTCCTTGAATTGTAACTGAGATGTAACACAGGCAAAAAGGCCTCTCCTGCATCTATTCAGAGAGCAGTTATGGATCATGCATTGCCTCATTGATGTCCCAAGTTGTCTTCCTAATATGTTGTCTTGCAGGGATGAACCATGTACAGCTGAACCAGGAGCTCTGCAGTATGGCTTTGGATTCAGCCACAGCTTTTTTAAGTTTGGAAAACTAACTTGATCCATTGATTGTGTTCTTCAAGTGAAGATGTGAAATTAATGATATTTCAAGCACTTAATAAACTTCTTAGGACTATGTTTAGTTTCTAACATATAAAGGAGAGAGAGCACAAGAAGAGGCAAGCACTGTGAAGACCCTGATAGGGTTGTATCTCCTGTCCCTAAGAGCTAGAAAAGTCACAGACTGCTCTGGCTGAGGGTGTGCATCATCCTGTGCAGCAGAGTCACAGAGGCTGAATCACAGCACCTGTTCTTTGTAGCCTGCAGCTCTAAACATGCTCTAGATTTCCTCAGTAGCATAAAAATTGTGCGTTGATTGCTAATGCTTCAGCTGGAGCAGTTTTTTGCAAACACCTGTAGTTTTACCAGAGGAAAACATTTTTAATCACTTGTCCCTGGACGCATGCAGTGTCTTCATGTATCATGGCATAGAAAATCTTTTTTATAGAGATTATACCACAGTTTTCAAGTATCGTCAAAAAGATAGTGTTTTGTTTTTTTTTTTTTCCCAAAAATCTTTAAGATATATGTTTATACAAGTGAAAAAAACTAATATATACATATATACATATAAACATACATATTATACATGTATGTTTCCATAAATATCTATTGGCTTTTGCTCAATGAGTCTAGCAAACTAAATTCTAAGTTCAAACATGTGCATACGGATAAATACACATATGGAGGGAAAGGGTTTTTTTTTTTTTTTTTTTTTTTTTTCTTTTATGGATTCAAGTGTGAAAATTTGTTGAAAGTAATTTTTTTAATATATTAAACACAGTATTAAATCTAGACAGGGACTTCTAAACAGAATTTTTAGGGTAGAATTTGAATGATATCTTAATAAGAATGACAATTCTTGACAGGTAGCAAATCATTAACTGTGTCACATGGTTTGCATTATTTTAGTTTCAGTTTGTGTTCCTAACAGTAAGCCCTTTAACTTGGACTGCAAGTCTCCTAAAGGTATGCATGGGAAACCTGAAAATACGCAAACCTACACTTTTTTAAAATGAAAAGTTTCTATCCATGGCCAGCATTAAGGTAAGTCTGCATTTTGTAATAGCATTTTACATGTATTGTAAGAACTGAAGGCCTTGCTAACCACCCTTTGTTGATTCTTCTTTGTCACAAAATGATTCTGTGAATGTATCTTAGTTTTTAGAGAAGGCTTATGTTTATGTTGCATGACAGACACCATACTCCTCTAGCTTCTGTCATGTTAGATCATAGAATTATAGAGTAGTTTGGCTTGGAAGGGATCTCTAAAGGTCATCTAATCCACACCCCCTGCAATAAGCAGGGACATCTTCAACTAGGGCAGGTTGCTCAGGGTCTCGTCCAACCTGACCTTGTAAGTTTAATAAGACCAGGGACAACAGAACTCTCAGTGATACAAGACACTCTCTTTTGTGGCACTTAATTGTACCTCACCAGGTGCATGAGACCTTACTGTTTTTTTCAGGTGCTATAATGCATAAAATATAAGCAATATTAATGGCTGAGATCTTCAGGCAGTTGTGCTTGGTCTTGGAATAAAGACATGGGACATTCAGTAATACAGATTTGTGTGTCACTGATAGATTTGGTTTTTAGGTTAATGTGAGCAAAATGTAAACCCTGTGTCTTACCAGCCATTCCAAGGCTCTTTCAGGACTAGATCCCTTGTTCAAGACAATTATGAGACTGTGAGCAAGCTGACATGCTTGATGATGTGTGGCTCCTAATTGATCCTTGCTTACCTGAGGGCTTCATATGGCACCAAGATGTCCAAACAGGTCTGCAGACTGCCAGCATGACAGCAGTTTGGGCAGTATGCCTGTCAGAAGTAGAAATCACCTGGCCCACAGCTCCTCTGCACGCTGTTATTTCAGAGTAGTCTGGACATATTGCTTCCTCATTAGGCATAATAAGATAATGGGATAATTCCTCTTAGTGAAGTGCTGATATGCAAAAGGGTAGGGAGGTTGTGAAGAGGGAGGAATCCAGTAATCCTGTTTATTCATTACAGATACAAAATTAGGGGCTACTCCTGGCCACTCAAATGTCTAATACAGTATTACTCATTAAATGTGAACCTTGGTATACTGTCTACTTTGGCCATAAATTGCCTGTCCAAAGAGCTTCCTGTTTCAATCCAGGTAACATGTTATTTTTACTGTTGTGTTTCCTGCAACAGTGAACCTATTCTTTTTTTTTTAATCTGTTCTAAAAACTGCACAGAATGTTCATGTCACAAAGAAAATGATGCAGCTTGACAAAGCTGATACATCAAGTTGCAGAATGACAGGATATTCTTACATAGAGAAAATTTAACTTGGATTTTTTTTTTAATGAATCCTAGTAATAAACTCTTAGGTAGGTTCATACACAAGTTTTCAGATATGAAACATTTGTAACCATAAAGTTCAGTTTACACTGGACTTTGTACCAATGTCCACTTCCCTGAATCTGACTGTGAATTGGATATAAACTGCATTAGTGATCTGAAAGTGGTTAGTGGTGTGTTACTGGAGATGCTAGAAAATAACAGTGAAAAGATTCCAGCCATGCCAGCTGTAAGAGTGCCTGATTTTTCTGACCTCTTTGGGGCCAGGATATGAAACCTAAGTAGGAAACAGAACAAGAGCCTAGAAATAGCTAAGGCCTTGATCCAAAAAATACTGTTTAGGCACCCAGCACCTTTTTAGGATGTTATGTTCCCACTTGTCTTCATTAGGAAATTAAAAGCTTAAGAGAAAGCATAAGCAAAGAATAGTCATTAACTTTGTTCAGGGGGTGTTAACCAATTTTCTCATTTCATTCCTCTGTGGCAGTGAGCCTAAATTCACAATAATCCAAAGGAGACCTGCCTCCACATGCCTTTCCCCTGCCCTGAGTTCCCTGGAACAGCTGTTCCCTGTGTGTTGTCTGCTGCTGTTTGGTGGTGGCACTAGCCCAAACCCAGTGTTTTGGCATGTCCTGCATCTCATTCTTTGGGATTGCTGCCAGAAGCTCTTTCCTAAGATATGCAAATCAAATTATTTATATTTTAATGTTTATAGCTTTGCAGAGGTGGAAATGAATGAAGCAAAGGATGTACTGCCCTACAGCTTTTCTATTTCCCCTGGCAAATGCTCAGATCTGCAGAGAAAAAATGTGTAGGGTCTAATGAAAGAGGTCACAAGAATCCTTAGAGTTTTAGGCAATGTAAACGTAGTTTGGACTGCAAATTAATTTTATTCGTAGCAGACAATGCTGTTAGTTCATCTGTGTGTAGGTACTACTTGCACAGCTTGGAAGACTCTTCCCAAAGAGGTGTAGACTGGTTTAGGTTTGGCTTCTTACAAGTCCCTTTAGCAGGAAAGCTGCAATCTAATTCAGCACTTTCTTGCTGCTTATGGAAGAACAAGCAGAAATTATTAAACTACTATATGTATACACACAAATGTAGTCACACAGTTGGAGGTGACATAATCTTGTGTACTCTGATGCAATGGTGTATACTCAAGACAGGAGTTTTCTCAGAGTTTTATGTTGGGCACAGTAAGGGAGAAGAGCTGAGAAGTTAAGAAAGTTCTGGGAAGGAATACATAGTTTTTTTTCCCCCTATAAACTGTTTTCAAAAGCTAATAGAAGTGAGTTTGTTTCTCAGTGTTTTTCTGCTATTAGAAATTATCTCAACAACAGCTTAGTAAGTGGAGAGTCATTGCGGCAGGGAGAGTGGGTGACCTCAGCAGGTCCAGAGGTGCAGCTTCTCTTGGACTGATTGTTCACTGGTATTTCAGTCCATTGTGCATTTTGTACTTGCATGAGAATTGGTCATAGGAATTGCTGTATGATACTTGAAAAGAAAATACTGTTACTGTTATCTTAATTTTTTCTTTTTCTTTTTAGGAATCACTAATGAAGAATGACTCTGCCAATTATAAAGACAGTTGACATTTATATTTTCCATAATAGATGTGTATCAGTGAAGTTACTTTCATATATATATAAAGAATACAGAAAAATGCAAGTCCCTTTGCCATAAGAAAAATGCGTCACCCAGCTTTCCTTTATGTAAAACATTATGAGCAGGTGGCAGGAAAAATACTCCCTTGTAGGAGAGTGTTTAGATTACCTCTAACTTTCCTTTGCATAAAGTGAGGAAAGAATAACAACAGTGACAGTCTAATGCATGATGAAATTTACTAAGCAGAATTTTATTTTTTTAGTTGTTGGAATTATAATTTATGTAGTTGATATTGGAGTGGATATCTGGGTAGCTAGTAAATATTTCTGTCAAGGACAATATTCTTGGAGTGTATCGATATTGTGTTTTAGGGGTCTTTCATCATTAATAACTCAGATATTCAGTTATGAGTGGTTTAAAGATGACTGGGAAGGTACTGATACTGGGAAGAAAAAATGGACTTTTCTAGTTCATCTCTTTCAATGTGGAATTTTTATAAGGTAAGGACAATTACAATTTTATTTTAAAATGAGAAATCATATTGCTGTAAGAAAGTTTATTAAAAAATGCTAAACATAGCTTCAGGCACAAGACCACTTCTGGTCTTAGCATTTATTGCTCCCAATAAGCAAATGGACTTTTTTACCTGGATAAAAGGGGTAAATTATGTCAGGTTTTGATGGAATACAACTCTTTACTTATTCGTTAATTTTACCTGTACGTAGTAATTTTTGTAATTCACAGCCTAACTCTAATTCATCAGCCTTTTGATAAAAATGCTTGCCTTACAGAGTAATACTGTGCTCACCCATAAATGTAAGTTTTAAAATGAATGTTTGGAAGATAATTTGTTTTGTTACACTAAGCAAGTGAGACAGCTGAAGTAACAGGTAATTTTTGAACCTGAGATTCTAACCGTATGTAGAAAAACCAAGAAGAGAAATGGACAGTGGAATATTAAGAATAGTTGCAGCAGTACTTCCTGCAGGGACTTAGTTAATGGTGACAGGAACCTTTGTTTGCTGAAAGGCACATGTCCAGGAATAGTGTAAGATACCATATGCCTAACATTCTGTGGTGGCTTTGCTATAAAATTATCATCATTATCATAATGGAGACAATTTCTGCCAAGATTTTACTCCCATTTTAAACCTGAATTGAAAGATGTTAGCAAAAATTCCTAAATTTTAATTATTTTGGGTATGTCACATGGAAGAAACATGAGTGAATGTAGACTCATCAGAGGCACTTAATAAAATACTTATTTAAAATGCCTTCTTTAACTTCCTGTACTAATCTATGGAAAGTGATAAAAGATATATTTATGCCTATATAAAAATTCTCTGCACATGTTTTATTCACTCAGTGTTATCATGGAAAGTGGAAACAAGGAAAGTGACAGAGCTTTTAGGTGTCACAATTAACTTTTGCCTCTCAATATTATTTTTCCTTTTGTTCGCCAGCTTTACTTTCCTGCTCCTCCTCTCCTTACAATCCTAAAGTTTTAGACTTCAAAGAGGAGTATTTACTGACAGGTTTAATTTTTCCGATGTCAAGTATTAGAAAAACTTAGAAATCATTTAACAAATATAATTTTGCCCTTTGCACTGAGAGTATTGTCAACTTGGCCACCAGTTCCTATTGCATAGATTATATTGTCTTCTATGCTGCTTCTTGCATCTGGAAAAAGTTTTCAAGTTTATATGTATAAATTACAAAGTTCTTTCAGCCACTCCTCAAAACTCAGCAGGGTGATAATGCATACTGTAAAGACTAAGCTGATAACAGCAATATGACATCTGTGCCTGTACCTTTGTAATCAACTATTATATACTTCCTATTATATGTTTTCTTAGGTGTATCCAGGTACAACTCCCTTCTGTCCTCTCTGTTAGTCACCTGATTTATCCAGTTAATTTAGACAATGAATCCCTCAGGTTTATCTCTACAGTCAATGGATAAAAATAGATTTTGTCAGGAGTTGGGTCATACTTTTTAAGGTGAGCTTCTCCAAAAGGTCATTTGGGGCAGAAACCTGTATTCTCCACTCACCACAGAGGAAAATAGGGGCCTAGCCAGTAAATACTGACTTGGCCAGTGAATTTAGGATGCCTGAAATTATGAGATGTCAAGACACCTTACAAAATTACCTTCCTTCATTTCTTCCTTCTCTCATATGTCTTGTACACCTCTTGCTCCATCTTTGATATAGGGATCTTCATTATGTTATGTTTGCACAGCACAATGGGAATATCTGGTTATGTTACCGTGTGACAAATAGTAAGTGACAAATATGGAAATCATATGTGGGTATACACTTATTTACACATAAATGTATATTGAAAGTAGAGAAAAAATTAAATTAAAATTATTTCATATTTAATGAGGATTTAGTTTACTTTAATTGAAAAAAATGTAGACCTGTAATAATATTTCATATGAAATGGGTCACAAAAATGTTAGAAGTGAGGACAGCAGCAAACGGTCAACATTAAGACAATAACACAGTCAGTCAATGTGGAAAAAGGGGACATTTCCCTGAGGCACCATAAGAATTCTGTAGTCCAGTGATGTGTAGCAGTTTGCAGCATCAGTCAAGAACACCCGCAGAAGACTAAATTTTAGCAGTTAATAACCTTCACTCCCAGAATTGAAGGCCATACAAGCAGCAGCCATTGTGATACTGGCAGCTGCTATTTTGTCTCTTCATGCTTAAAGGTAGGCTCAAGATGCCCTGCATCTTTGAAGAGGAGCAGATAAATGAGATTTTTTTTGCAAAGATGAATTTTAAATCCATGAAACATCAGAGTAAAAAGTGCTTTGTTGAATCTGGGGTTAATTAATAATAAGTTCTTAAAAGGCAGTGAGAAAAATTAAGTCAATATAGGTAATTTTCAGTTTATACTGGTACAGACTTAGAACCTGTTAAATCACACCCAAACCAATGTATCAAGTGAGGACTGAAGCTGGTAACATGTCTCTAGCAACTTAAGTGTGTAACAATAAGTTCCACAGGACAAAACAAATAGAAATGTATTTAAGATGCCAGGTCAGTGAGATACAGATGGACAGGTAAAAGAGCAAGGTTTGTAATGCTAGTTTAAGTGAGTTAGAAGTTGAATAATATCTGCCTGTTCACATTTTCTTAATATACATTTAGTCTCCTAAGTAGACTTTTGTTGCATCAGTTTCATGGACTTGGTCCCAGCCTTTTGATATATAGAAGATTAACGTGCAGCAGAGAATAATTTGCCTTTGATTAAGGATTTATACTGTGCTGCAGACTGTGTCTGCCTGACCAGAATTGAGAAGGGACAGTGATTGCTGCCAGGTCTCTCTCACCCCCTCCCTTCATGAATTTCTAAATGGCACCCAAATCTTTATCAGTGTAGTTTGATGAGATGAGATGTGGTGGAAAGTTCTCATTGGAAATCTGAAGGGAAGCACATGATGGGGAACCATGTGTTGTGGAAGCACTGGCAAGGCAGCTTGCCTATGACATTTGAAGGCTGTGAAGCTGTCAAACAAGAAAAACAAGTAGCTGTCACCTCTGTGAATTCCGAGTATGCTTGGAGAGCTGAGGCTTTCCTAATTTTACAGGAGACCAGGAGCAAAATTCACCCCTTAAGACATAACAATGAAAATACAGGAGTGTCAAGAACAGAGAGGCAGTGGAGCTGTGTTTCAGTGAGTGTTTAAAACAAGACTCCTATCATCTGTGTTCTCCACAAAGCAATCCTATAAAGGCAGAAACCCTTTTTAACCTATTATAGTGAACATAATATTTGGAAACATGATAATTCTTTCCTGTTCATATATGACAATTTCATTTGTAAAGAAACTGTGATTTTTGACTCTTGGCTTCCAAATAGCTTATATATACCTTGGATTAATGAAAAAAAGAAAAAATCCTCTGTAATGAATTTAGAGGGAGAAAAAGTAAATGGTAACACTGCATTTGTCTGTATTAATAACATACTACCCACAGCCATTTTGCCTTCAGTTTAAGATGTACCTCTATTTAAAATACATAACCAATCCAACTATTTTGATTAATGTATTTCTATGCCAGTTGAAGTAACTTTTAAAAATCCTTTTCTCAGTGATTAAAGATGGAAACACAGAACTTCTATAGCAATAGATATATTCTAGAAATATAGATTATAGGGGTATAATTATGATAGGTTCAGAGCAGGCAAGTGTTTAGGTGAGCTGTGGGCATGAGAAAAGACAATATTTTAGCCTGACCTACCCTTTGAGTACGAGTCAAAGTTTGCCCTTGGTTGTGAATGCAATGGTCCAATGTTAGGCCTAAAAGTTGGCTGTGGCCCCTTCCTAGAATGTCCAAATACTGCAGCTGAAGTGGGCAGATGGGAATGGGAATGTAAGCTCAAAATACTCTTAAAAATGAAAAAATTGCCACAGTGAACTACAATAAGTGACACAGGCATGTGAAGTTCAGGGAACTCCACCTTGCTTAATACATAGTCACAGAGCAATAAAAGTAAATGAGCTTTTCTAGAAAAAGACAATGTATTCTATGCAGTATTCACAGCCAGAACTGGACTAACTGAAAAAGCTACAACTAGTGACAAACACTATAGCCTACCATCTTATCACACTACAAACCTAATATAACATACTCTGTATAGAAGGAATATGTTTCCAAAAATTGACAAGTGATTTCAGGTGTCCATCTTCTTACAATATCTGATTCTTACCTTGTGTATCATCTGCCTTCTCAGCTGCAAGCTCAGCAGCTCAGACCTTGTTTCCACTTCTTGCTGTTTGGACAAACACAGAGTCTGGTGAATGAGTCCATGGACAACTAACAGATTGGTCTACCTAACTGTTTTTTATTGAGAACACTGCAAACTCTCCAGATGTTTACATCTCAGATGCAAAATCCAGAGGCTTTGGAATACTCATTATTTTATAAACTGAAAAAGCTATAGATGGTTTGCCAAACATTTCAATTCTTTACTTATGAGCAATTATTCAGAGAACAGTAAGATAAATACACAAAAACATAAAAGTAGAAAATAGTTCCCTTTGGGAGTAAGTAATGGATCTAGAGCCAGCTCACAGAATCAATGTATGGTCTGAATGGCAGGGCTGCAACCTATGAATCTCTGCAAGGAGAAGAGCAAAGGATCTTTGCCAAAGGCTCCTCAGTAGTAGTATAGCTGCTCCACACCTACTCCTGATGCTCCCAAGCTGCAATTCTCACTTATTTATTCAACATGCTTTAACTTATCTGGGAGAAAGTCATCATTCCTCTAGCAAGCACTTTACCCACGACCTGCAAATCCCAGCCCTCCCGCTTGTAGCTGCGGAAGAACCCCCTGATGCTGTCTCACCTGTGGTCAAAGGTGATGAAGGTGTTAAACTTTGAACACCTGCAGGAGCCAGAAATTCTTCCTGCCTCTCTTGGTAAGCGGCAGGGAACTGTGCTGCAGTGTCATACCGGGATGAGGTCTGGATGTCTAATGATCTGCTGCCCCCTGTTCCCTATGTAGCGGAAATGCAACCACACGGGTTTCGTGCCGTCCGTACTGTCTGTGGTCGATTTGTGGAAGATCAGGGAATCTGGAACCTGTGCCACTTCAGCATGAATCTTGAAATCATCTCAGTTGCAGCCTTAAGGAATGGAAGTAGGAGACAGGCTAAGGCACAGGACCTTGCTTTATGAGCCTGAACGTTCACAGGCTTGTACAGCTGTCTAAGATAATCAAGTGATGGTTTGTGGTGCTCTGCTTGATTTCTCAAGAAAATTGACCTGAAAAAATTATATAATCTTAATGATCCAGCTGAATAAATTTTTTTCGTTGAGGTGGAACACCTTTATAATACTAAATAATTGGGCTGAATAACAGTGAGTTTTCTTGGAAAAGGACTGCTTTTGCTGTCCTTGCCTGCCAGTTGTAGTCAAAATGGGTTCATTGGAGAAGAATACTGGCAGCTCAAGATATCTGGGAACTGAATAGACAGAAGTAGGCTTGAAAGTGATGTATGAAGGCTGTTATGCTCAAAATCCTGTTTATGAGCAAACACACAGGATTTATATACCTATAAAGTCAAGAACTTACTATTAGTATAAGTGAAATTGTCATCAGTATTTCATTCAGTACAGAATACTTGGTTATTACTGTTACCATATAAAATTACAGCTGTACCATACAAAAATCAACAGAAGTATAAAAAATTAGTCACCTGGTAAATTGGAAGAAATCACCATTTTTTCTGCATAAAATAGAAACTAAACCAAGTAAAACAAATTCACAGACAAATCAAGAAAACTTCAAACAGAGCAAGCTGGACAAACCTCAGTCCTGAGGCCTTGCAAAGCTTATGCCATGTTACTAGCAATGTCAGTGCCTGTGATGGTGCTGCAGAGTTGCAAGGCTTAGAAATAAGAACCTAAGAAAATAAAGCTTGTAATTTTTCAGACAAACTGTGTTCTGTTCCAGTAGTTGCACTGGTATCACTGATCATAAATTATTACCTGATATCACTGATACCTGATAGATATTGGACAAAATTTTATCTTAGTAGAAGGTGCTGGACTACATTCAAAGTTTAAATGTGAAGTGAGAATGGAATGGCAAAAATAATTATTAGGCTGTATCATTTTATTGAGTTGCACTTACAAAAATGCTGTGTAATCAAATCTCCTTTTTTTTTATTAGGTATTGGTTTGCTTTGAAGTATGGCTACCAAGCTGCATTTAAACAAAGCAGCAGAGGAGATGCACCAGAAACAGACCCTCCCAACTTCATTCAAAAACAAGCTGTTGATGTAGTGACTGATATTAACATGCTCAAGGTGTTCAAGACTTTTCTTGAGACCACACCACAGCTTTTTGTCCAGATTTACATCCTCATGGAACAGGAACATGGCAAAAATAATTTCTATCAATGTGAGTCTGCCTTTCTCTTTTTTTTTTTGCAGGTTGAATATCTCACCTAAAAAGAGGACTGCTGTGATTGGATAACATTCTAAACACACCTTGGAAAAGATACACTCCACTGTATTAGTCTGCATTTCATTAGAATTTCTCTCTAGTAGATGGCCCATTCTGCTAAATCCATGAGAAGGGAGATTTCAATTTAACAAATCATAGTATCTAATAGAAACACAATGATACATCACTTGAAAATAACTAATTGAATATAATTAGTATATTGTTTGCAGAGCAGTTTGTTTTGAGTGCTTCTGCTTACAGTTTCTTTTAAAACTGCTAACTGGTCATCCTGACATCAGCAACATATTTAGAACAACCCTGTGTGCTGTCACTACCATCATCCACATATTACAGATGAGGGACAGAGTCAGAAAACAAGTAAGGTTGTGTCAGCACTGTGGAATGCAATATAATGAAGAGATATTCATTCAACTCTCAGATGCAAGATAGCAGCTGTACCATTTTCAGCTCTAAAAATAGCAGCAGTAGTGGCAAGACTTTGAGTTACTCAGGGTTGCAATTTATCTAACCAAAGAAGATACCTGCACTGCTATCTAGTGTTCCTTTACAGTCCATGGACTCAATAGGTACTCAGACAAAATGGTTAGATGAACCTCATCTTGGGGCTGTTCAGCCTGCAGAAGAGGAGGCTCTGGGGAGCCCTTATAGTGGCCTTCCAATACCTAAAGGGGGCCTACATGAAAGATGGGGAGAAACTTTTCAGCAGAGAGGGTAGTGATAGGATAAAGGGCAATGGTTTTAAACTGAAAGAGGGTAGATTTAGGTTAGATATTAGGAAGAAATTCTTCACCACAAGGGTAGTAAGGCACTGGAATAGGTTGCCCAGGGAGGTTGTGGATGCTCTGATTCTATAATTCAATATGACCATGTGAAGGGTCAAGTCTTAGTTGTAGATTTCTACATCATGGACACACCAGAGTCTGTATCAGTCACTGAAACTTATGTATTTATGTGATATTTGCAACACTGGGAATTTCTAAGTCATCCGTGTATGGAGATGGCAGATATGATACTCAACTTAGGTGAGACTAATGGGCAGAATAACACAAGCATGCCAAACAGCATTAGATGCCTAGATTTAGCTAATTAAACTGAGCCCTAAAATTATGGTGATTTATTCAGGACCACAGAGGAAATATATAAAGAAAGTGTTAAGAGAACACTGAACTTTCCCAAAAGTTCATTCAGAAATTGTAATGTAAAATAAGTATATTTTTTGGGGGGGTTAACATTTATCCCTGTGTTTTGTTTAGATGCTGCTATTATTATGTCTTTTTTTGGTATCTCCATTTCAATGGTTGATTATCAGATATCACTACGAAAATCTCTACCTGATAAAGAAGAATTTCATGTGCTTCCCAAGTTAGTATATCTCTTCTATAAACTGCTTACCACTACTTCTTGGATAATCAGTATTTCACTGATCACTCTACTAAATGTTAGAAGTTCTGTAATTCTGCTGATACTTCTTTGGATCTGTGGCTTCATCTGGACTTTAAAACAACATACAACATTTTGCAAATCTAAGAAGATGGAATATCTGTACAGAACTGTTGTTGGGATAATTCTAATTTTTACCTTTTTCAACATAAAGGGAGGAAAAACAAAAGTTTGCATTTCTATTTATTATGCTACTCATACTGTTGTAACACTAGGTATTTTGTTTGTATATATGTTTTGGAAAACTTCCATTATCAAGGAAATACATTTCACAATTGTGAGCATCGTAACTGTTCTTAGTCTGCTGTTAGGTATTATTTTTCTTGTTCTTTATTATAAGCATTTTCACCCCACTGTTTATTGCAGATCACAGATACATTCAGATGGAGTTGATGGACGGGAAGGACAAAAAGATATAGTGGAAATTAATAAATTTCAAAATTTCATAAAGCAATGAACAGTATAGATTTTTTGGTGAGAACTTAAAAGCAAATACTTGCTGGACAGTTTGGCTCTCTGGCATTGTTTTTCTTGTATCATCTCTGAGTACCACATAATGGAGCAGAGTTACTAGCTCTAAATAACTATTGTTTTCTGTGATGCTGTACAAAGTCTTTATAGCACAAATATTTCTCTTGTGCTGGTCAAAGTTGCTTTTGAAAAAGAAGCAATTTAATCTATCCACCCAACAAACCCACTGTTTTCATTTTTAGCAATGCAAATAAAACACAGGAAAAAGGAAAGTTAACCAAATGAAAGCTAGCATTAAAACCATATTCTATTAATTTAATTTAATCTTGTTAAAAACAAGGCTTGCTTTTCTTCTCTTGCAGGAAGGAAAGAGGAGTGCGTTTGAAATAACTGGGGGCAGTGATCAGTTATCTCTGCCTGCTTCTCCTCATTAGTGAAGGAGCTGGAGTCTTTGGATGAGCGTAGCTACAAATTGTACTGCCTTCTCCCTAAATATCCCCTGAGGAAGAATGGCATTGATTTATGGCTCAATCACTGTCTTGTCACAGGAAATTTGCAGAGATATTTTAAAGCATTGTATTTTCTAGGTGTTTTAATGACTCCTTTATTGGTTTTGTTCTAGTAAACTTTCACACAAACTTCTGTGTTTAGGGGTGATGCTAGCTTGTTGTTCTGGATAATAAAAGGATCCTGATTTATGGATGGCAACTGGAGTCTTGCATATAAAGGAAGAACTGTCTTCCTCGAAGCTTTCCTCTCCTTTAACGTCTAAGATGTAATATTTTAAATGCTGATTTCCACGGAAATAGGGGGCTATACAAGGTATGCCATGGTGCTGCTTTGTTTGTCACTGCAGAAGAGAAAAGTAACTGTTCTGATGCACTGCACCCACAGGGCCTGGGAAATGCTGGAATAGCCAGCTTGCTCATCAAGCATTTTATTGGCAGAAGGTAAAGTGAAATTAGACAACATTTCAGTCCTATGTTCAATTGATGAATCAACAGCACAGGAAATAAGATGGATAGCCACAGCTTCTTCAGAAATAAAATCTAAGGGAAAGTCTTTCAGAGCATCTGGGTTTTAAATCTAAATTATGAAAACTAGGGCTTTTTCTCCTCTCCTTTCCTCTTGCAATAATTCACATTTGCATAGTAGCCACAGGCAAATGGAATAAACAGTATTTGAGATAAGAGACTAGAGATAGGAAAATCTGATAAACTTTGCCAGGAAGCAAATCTGTTAGCGTTATTGATTCACAGCAAACATCCCTGAGACTTTGGCAGAGGGGCTGATGCTTTGGTTGATAATTAGGATGCTGAAGAGCTCTGTCTTGTGCCTTTTGTGTCAAGTGGACTGCAGGCTGCCTTTTTCTTGTTACCCTTCCAGCCTTAGCACAGCTCAGGGAAGTTTCAAAATGTGTTTCTTTCCTGTTATAGTTTCATAATTGTCTTTACCAGGCCAGCCACTTGCATCATATGAATCCTATTCTAGCAAAGTAATTTCTAGGTGCATAGCTTGGACTGAATGGTCTGACTTTCTGAGGATACACATGAAAAATTAGCATGGTAAGAAGAATTTACTTCTAAAATTCCTTATTTTCACTTAGAGGTAACTGGAATGTGAGTCCAGAAGTTAAGACATAAAAAAGCACAATCAAGGAGACTTAGCAATAGTTTTTCTCTAAAATAAATCTAAACCACTACCTTCACTTCTTTCTCCTCTGGAAAAGAGATTTGTTTGCCCTGGAAAGCTGCTTAGGTAAGAGAAAAAGCTCAAGGCTCTATCCTGCTTCATTGACCACAATTGCCCTAAGATCTGCCTCCCTTACCTCCAGAGTATTTCTTACTAGTAATGGTGCCTTTGGCAGCAAAATGCTTGCCTGTTTTTAAGCTGAATGTACCCTGATTTGGCTATGAAAAAATAGGATCCTAAATAGTGAAGACTATCCCTATATTACTTCCCACACTTTTATTGTTTGTTCATCTGAAATCCTGAGAAGAGACTAGGATAAGGTAGGGTTGAAAGGGGAGAATATTATCTCTATCTTGCAGAAAATTATAAACTTTTATGTAACCTTTAACTGGAAAAAACCCTCAAACTTTCTACATTATCTGAGAAGATGATCTGTGGGGAAATATGAGCTTCTTGGAAGTCCTACTGTGGGAGTTTCAGCCCTGGAGCCTCCAGGTTATCTGCCTGCTTTCAGATGCCAGAAATCTGGAGCCTGATTTGCTCTGGAAGATGGTTAGTTTGTGGTGAAACAAAATAAATTTCTCTTGGATATTTATTTTTTTTTTCCTTTCAGTGAATGGACAAATTTCAAATAAAATTACTTCATTGTCATCTCTCTGGCCAACTCCTAACACTCATTTTCTTTCATGGGAGAAAAGCTGAATGTTGTGCTGCCTTCTGTTGTTCTCCTTAGGTCTCCTTGTTCCCTCTTTTGTGCCACTGAGAGGAATGCTATATTGAAGTTCAATTGGTAAGGAAGGCATCTGTGTGGCTATTTATATAATGCTAATACAAACACACACCAAAGCCAATGACTTACGTCTCAATCTGCATTGTAAGTCCTAGTGAATATAAATTTAGCCATATCCTTAAACTGGGAAATCATGCAGATTCTTTTGATAAAGCTTGAACAGATAGTCAGTGTCCTGCCACAAGTACTGTAAATGTCTCCATTTTGCTGTTGTCAGTCAGAGGGCATCAAGAATTGGGAATTTCTGTTAGATGGTCACCTGGAAATGTTTTAAAATTTATTTTCAACTTTAACATCCTCCCTTTCTTTCTGACCTTGAGTTCAAGTTTTTCATTTGATTCCCTTCATTTTAATGATTTTGAAAATGGCTTCAAATTAATGTCGTCATTCTAGGTCAGAATCACTGTAGCAGGGAGGACAGGGAAGCACGTAAATTGATTCTAGACACATTTCATATCCTCACTGACCACTTCAGACACATCAAACAAGGCTCCACTTCACATAGGTGTGAAGCTCAAACAGTAGACTTCATACCCTTTCTGTTCCCCAACTACTCTTAAAATTCAGCTGCCACTCAGTTCATGCATTCTGCCTGACCGTGTCATTTTAATCTAACAGAAAATTGAAAACAAATGTTTTTTTTTTTTTCCTTTTTTTATTAAGTATGTCCATTACATCTTACAAGAGGTATTTTAATGAGTTAAATAAAAATAATAAACAATTTCTTTTGTCTTCTGTTTTGACTACTGTCAGACCCAGGTAAGAGGGACAACATTCAACAGAATTGTTTTAATTATCCTAATATTCAATGTGCCATTTGATGGCATTGGTGAGCTCACCTGATGTACCACAGATAGCACAGATTTATGAAGCCATAATTGGGTTTCCAATAAACATTTGTCAAAATAATGTATTCATTCAAACCAAAGCCTTCTTTATTTATTCATATAAAAGAGCACTTAACTTTCAACAAAGAATTGCCTGCCATCAAAAACACTCCATAAACAGGGGAAATTTATGAAGACACAGTGCCAGAGGGTGATCGGCGGAAGACTAAAGTTCAATTTAACCCTTCAGAGTACTGAGTTCCACCTCTTTCTTGTTACTGGTACTAATCACATTTCTTTCTAAAAGCCCCAAGCCCAAACATTAACCTTTGTATTTTTATACCTTAAAGCACCAGGTCTTTTTTCTACCACGGAGTCTTGCATCTCAAAGTTGGTTTCAAAACAAAGATTGCTCATTTTTATTATGCAGTGCAGAAGCATGGACAAAGGTCAAACACAGCTGGTTTTAGGCTTACCTACATTCTGCCACAATTTCCACCATGTTTATATTTAAAAAAAAAAAAAAAGAAAGAAAGGTACGCTTTGAGAAGTTAAACAACTTATCTTGTCTGAACCTGAGGCAATGTGTGCACTTGTCATTCATTCTAGCTGAAGAATTTTCCTGTACTACTTCTTTGTGATCTTCTCTACTTCCTAGCACTTCAGTTTCATTTTGTAGAATTCAAAAGAAGAATAGCAAAGTAGACAGGCTGTACAATCAGTATTTGAATGGAATGCAGATGACCCCTTGGAATCCATCTTCACAAAAAAAATATTCACTTTTTAGCTTCAATTAGTTAACATACAACAAATACAAGTAAGTCACGCTGGAGATGCCTGCTATAAGACTCTTACATTCATTAGCTTAGTAAAATGTAGACCTTAATGGTGCAGAGAGTGATTCTTTGTCCTGGTATAAGCTAGGATGAAGCCACTTTTCCTCTTACTGATTTCTTTTTCCTACAGTAAGCTTTCTTTTAACTAGTAGCAGAGTGTTCCAGATAGGACTGATAACAACGCTGGAATGTTTGTTACTGCCAGGACTTCAAGGTCTCTGACCCCCCCATAGGAGGCTGAGTTAGTCAGACAGCAAAATTGGCCAGAGATATTCTATTCCGTGTAGCTACGTGAGCTCAGGGGAAGGTCAGAGATCACAGAAGACAACTTCCTTCCTGCTTCTTCTTCCCTTCTCTTCTGTCCATGTCCAGTGTCCAGGGAGGACTCCATCCATCCATCACCATCGACCCCCAGGCTCGAGCTCTCCTGACCCTCATCACTCTGCTCTCTCTGGCAGCTCCGGGATTTTTTGAGACTGTTCCAGCTGAGTGGAGTGCTGGGCGAGTTGCTGGGGGTGGGTGGGGGGGCAAAAGGGGTTTTGCACATTCCTGAACAGATTTGTATATAATTGTAGGTATTTTCTTTTATCATTAGTGTTTAATTAAAGCTGTGTAGTTCAGTTTTCAATCCAGTAAATTCTTTCTCTTTTTCTCTCTCTCCTCCCCTACTTGGGCAGGAGGGGTTTGAGAGCATCATTGTTGATTCTGAGTCAGACTTTCTTCAAACTTATCTCAGCCTTCTAACACCTATTGAATCTACAAACTCCGCTGGCCTTCCTAAAATTGTATGTTGGTTTCCATATATATTTCTATTTTTAGCATACTATTTCTTTTCTGGTAG